CGTTTTAGGACAACTTTGATGAAAGGTTTTGATCCACTTCAAATGTGACTATATATATATATATATATATATATATATATTATAGGAGCATGTACTTTCCTTACACAGTCATATAAATCTTAACCTAAAATCTTGAGGTTTATTAAAAAAATAATGACATAAGTCAGTTACGCATTAGATGACATCTGAAATTAATGCCATAGCTGAATGCAGAAGTGTGTATCACTTGAAAATGCCAAAGGAACCATTAAATTAATATTTACAATGAATTCAGCATTTCTGTAAGACTCCATTCATAAGTCCTGTATGTTTAATCTTCCCACATCCTGGGTAACAGGAAATGAGTGGCAGATGAAGGGTTCTCCTGAACCTGTGAGAGGATGTCAGATCCGGATTATCCTTGCATGTTTTTATTTGTATCTTCAAACCAATTATTGTCATTTGCACTTTTATATAGAAGGTTAATAATGAGAGCACTCATTTGAGCTGTATAGGAAATGAGGCTGTGAAGAGGGAGAGGATGTGGAGGTTAGGTTGAATGGAGGTGCCACTCCAAGTACTCTTTTATTGCACCTTTCATATCTTATTCAGTAAAAACAAGTATTCAATATCTGACCTATAGATGCTCCAAATGTCCCTGAGCTTGGTGAGTATCTGTGTATTTGGATGTTTTCCTAGGAAAGGCTGAAAGGCATTTTTTTTACATTGGGATTTACTGGGTTTGTTTTATCAGATCATACCGATATAATGCATGAATAAAACATATGTTCTGCTTCAGGGCCACACTAGTTCTCTTGTTTACTTCAGGTTTAGAAAGAAATCATCATGGGAAACATACAATACAAGAAACTATCCAAAATACACTAATGTATGTGTAAAATAAATAAAAAATAAATAAAAATAATAGATAATGTGGGTGGGTGGGGTATTAATATATCAATGTGTTGATAAACACATATTTAAGAAAAAGATTAGATTCAAATTGGAAACTCATCTTTATGCCTTTTTGAACCATCGTTTAAATAACTGTTTAAAGAGTCATTTGTTCATGAATCTGACTAGGCTGGTTAATCTGTATGTTTTAGATTCACAAAAAAAAAGAACCAACTCAAGCTCAAGCAAAATGCTGTTTAAAATCATTAACGCAAGTTAATGTACTATATTTACAAATGCTGGCAGGCTTCCTTATTGTATCTTTATGTTATACAGAAACCACAATGGTGCATGCTTGCCGATTGTAATGCAGCCCCCAACCAACAGGGGGCCATTGAAATTGGCAGCATAAAATAACAGTGAGAAAGTGCTTCAAGGCTGCAATCCCTCTGGCATTGTGTGTGTGCAGCAGAGAGTAGGCAGAGACAGAAAGAGGTGTCATACATAATTCACGCCATTCTCTGAGTATTTTCGGATCATTGTGACAGGGACATGACAGAGTCCCTCAGAGACCCGGGTAACACACAGTTATTCACTCACACACTCCACATCAACACACTCTCTCTGACGGCAGGGAGGAAACAGTTGGAGTTCTCCCACGTGACACTTAACACGCTTTGCACACATTACTCGCAACATCTTAATGCTGCGTCAAAGTGCTGATCAGTGCACACTACGCACAGAAACATACACACGCTCCCACATTATTATTGACTTCTAGTGTTTCTAAAATACAGTTAAGAGTCTGAAACAACACATTCGTTTTCAATACAACAGCAACAACAAATGTACAACCTGACCAGATGAATCTTAAATGAATGATTCTTATGAACCAGTTCTTTTGAATAAATCAGTCTAATGACTCACTCACTGAAATGAGCAATTTTTGACTTACTCGGTTACGCATGTAACCCTCGTTCCCTGAAGGAGGGAACGGAGATGTCATGTCTAACAAGAAGACCAGTCACTGTTGTCGTAGCACTACCCACTCAGTGAAATTGGATAACACCGGGAAAACGTACCCGTACCACTTGCAACAGGAACATTGCGGAAGTCCCATCCTTCCTGAAGGAGGTTTTGGAAGCACTTACATATATGAACAACCGTTTAGGTGCATATGGAAGATTAGAGGTGATTTTTACCCTC